CTCTCTCTCTCTCTCTCTCTCTCTCTCTCTCTCTCCCCCCATATCTCTCTCACTCTCTTTCTGTCTCTCTCTCTCTCCCCCTCTTCTCTATTTCTTTCTCCTTTTCTTTTTCATTCTCTGTCTTTCCCTCTTCTCTCTCCCTCCTCTCTGTCTGTCTGTCTGTCTCTGTCTCTGTCTCTGTCTCTGTCTCTTTCTCTCTCTCTCTTTCTCTCTCTCTCTCTCATAGCTTGATTGAAACTGCTAACCTGGAGACACTTTGCTTCTCTGAATGCTCCTACCACATGAGTGGGAAGAGTCTGTGTTGGTGGCATACCCAGAAGGGGCTACGTCCTTAAAATTCCCAGTCTGAGACAGTCTCAGCCTTTTTTCCTGAAGGGGATTCCTTCTCCCTTCTCTTTTATCCTAGGCATATCACAGGTGCTTAATAAATGCTTGCTTCCTTCCAACTTCTTTAAATCTTGCTGTACACATGTATCATCTTTTGAATGTCATGTTTTTCTTGCTAAGCTCCAGTCTTTTAAGATATTTTTTGCACAAAACAAGGGGTTTTGAGTGGCAAAGCTTCATCTTTCTTTCTAGATGAAGTACACTCAGGAGCTGCTCAGACTATGAGGCCATAACCAGGGGCAGTGCTGCTTTGCTAGACCTTAACTAAAGGCCAAATATTTTGGATGAAATCAATAGCCTCTTGAGGGTAGAACTTGCAACAAACATATAAACTGATAGCAACTTCAAAGGGAGCATTTATGCCACAAGACAAGCAGCCTGAGGGCATGTTGCTATTAATTCAATTCAATTCAGACTTGAGAAGGTGCAGATACAGGGCATACAAAGATGAAATTTTTCCCTAGTCCCTAGCTTTTAGGAGTTGAAAAGGAACGAGAAGGCTATGGCTCATGCGCCAATAAGCATGGTATAAAGTAGAATCCACTGGGGACAAAGGAAAGATTCAAAGTGCAGGAGAACGTCCAGAGGGAGAGATCACATGTAGCTGGAGCTGGGGAGAGAATCAAGGAAAGCTTCCTGGAAGAGATGCCACCTAAGCGATATCTTGAAGAAAGGGAAGGATTTCAGAAATGAGATGAGGAGGACGTATGCTCCAGGCATACAGGCTAGGCTGCACCAACATATGGTCACGAGAAAGGGCAGAGCTGGAAGGAAACAATCAGTCTGGTCTGGCTAGAACCTAGAATGCATGAAAAAAACTTGAAATAAGTGAAATAAGCCTGGAAAAGCAGGTTGAAGATAGATCACGGCAAACCTTAAATGTCTGGCTCAGGTGTTTGTATTTTACCCTCGAGAAAATAGGAGTCACAGAAAGTTTTTGAGCAGGGGAGTCAGATCCATGGATAAGGAAGATTATTTTGGCAGCTGCTGAAGATTGGAGAGTGGGAGAGACTAGAGGCAGGGACACTAGCTGGGAAGCTATTACAATAGTACAAGTATGAGGTTATCAAGGCGGTGGCAGTATTAACGCCTTGCTATTAAGGAGGGAAGATAGGAGAAGTAAGCAAGGAAGGGCTATGCTCCCCAGACCATAGCTCCAAAGGCCCAGGGTAAGGGGTCAAGGGTAAGGGGTCAAGCATAAGGGTCAAGGTAGTCCTTGTAGGTCACTGCCTAGGCTGGAGTAAATCATGGCTCCTAGGAGAGTATTCTTAGGTACCCCTGATCAAGGACCCTCATCTTAATAATCCTTACCCAAATTTACCTCCTTAGAAGGGTGGCAATGCCAGGGGAGAAGCGCCCTGGACTAGAAGCCAGGAAACGTAAGTTCTGGTCCTTGTTCTGCCACTTCTTTGTTTTGTGACTGTGTGAAAATCATGCTTCCTCTCTGGGACTCAGTTTCCTACCTGTAAAATGATGGAGTTGGACTAGTCTAGGCTTCCCAACCACCAATCCATAGACTGGTGCTTCCCCAGATCAATCAGTCAACAAGCATTTCTTAAGTGTTTACTCCGTGATAGGCCAAGTGCTGGGGATACGAAGAAAGCACAAATAGTCCCCAAGAAGCTTATGTTGTGGTGGGGAAGACAATATATAAAGAAATAGGTACATGGGAGATATAGTAAAAGGAAGGTAACCTTGGCTTAGAGGAATGGCTAACAGCAGGGAAATAACAGCAAATTTTCTGCCATGTTAACTTTTACTACCAAAGGCTCCTCATTTCTTCAAAACTTACACACTCATAACTGACTCCTCTTGTTCCTTGCCTCCTGTTCCTGTCTCTCCCTGTCTGCCCAGAGTCTGGTCCCTGTCCTTGAGGCAGGGAGAGCTCCCTTTCAGAGACTTCAGTGTGGAGCTGTCTGTGGTAGGTCACGAGTTGTTTGTTTGTGCTGGAGGATCATTAAGGACCACCCCATCTCCAACTCCCTGCGAGGGGCTCAACACCTCTTTCCCAGGGCACCCCATCTCAGTCCTGGAAAGCCTCCCTTTAAGTGGCCACACTAGCCCCCAGAAAATTGCTTTATTCATACAAAATCCTTCCCTGTGCCTCACACTTATGTTGGAATAGTCAGTGAGAACAGAGAACATATTGACATACTGTACATACAATTTTTTTAAAAGGACTTCTTAATTAAGAAATGAGATAGGAAATTACCAGCCAACCAAGGTCCTGAAAACTAACGTAGAGTTCATGCCTCCTGCAAACCTGTCTGCCCTCAGCGGCATGGATATCATCTGGAGGAAGAGAAGGGTAGATGTCTTTTATAGAATACTGTTGGTCAGAGATAGTTCAACAAGTGTGTGACCTCCTAAGGCAATGGGGGGGCAGTGTGGCATGGTAGAGAGACCACTTTGACCCTGGGTTAAGTCATTTAACTTTTCTACGTTTTAATTTTCCCATCTGTAAATTGAAAGGATGATATTTTACTATTAACCTCATGGGATTGTTATGAAGAAAGAGCTTTATAAGCCTTGAAGTCTTAATTAAATGTGAATGGTTATAATTATTTCATCAGGTTGATGAATAAGTCACTAAAAGTTATGAAATTATTAAAACATTGAAAAACTTGACATGGTTGCTCTCTAAGATTACTGAGAGGCAGCCAACTGGGGCAAATGCGACATTGGTCTTAGAATCAGGAGACCTCAATTCTATTGCTGGCTCTGTCACACATCAGCTGTATGACACTGAGCAAATCATTTAACGTCTTTGTGCCTCAGTTTCCTCATCTCTAAAATGGGGCTAATGACACATTTGCTACTTTTCTCTTAGGATGGTCCTGAGGATCAAAAAAGATACTAAATACAAAGTTCACTGAGACTTTAAGGCAATGTTGAAGCACCAACACCATTTTTTTATTACTACTGAGACTTGGTTCTGCCTAGCGCATCCCTATTCCACCTCTTCTCTGAATGATGGGGATTTGGAAACTATTCTTTGGCTCTCCTGCCATACTCTATGATCTCCAAATAAGGATTTGCCACATCTCTAACTTGTATTTGGAGACTTTCATCTCCTGCCTCTTACCAAAGATCCCTGGGAGTTTGTTTGGGTGGGGGAGGTCGTTGCTTTTTTTTGGCTGCCTTTTCTTTAGCTGCTTGAGTGCCCGAGGAGCTCGGATGGGATTTTGATTTGCCCTGAAAAAAGTGACCATAAAAGGTTGTTTGGAGCGTGGCCCCTGCTGACCCAGCAGTCCAGCTAATCCAGGATCGACGCTTCGCCCTGAGATATACAGGAAAGAAAACACATTTGTTTACTGAGGGCATGGATTCATATCTGATGATCACAGCAGAGTCCCTAGGGATGCTATACGGTTGATGAACCAGGGCCATACCCACCACCAAAGCTGCAACCGGTCACTGAGTCTTCACTGAGCCTTCCATCAAAATCTCTCATGGATACATGCCCCCTCCTCTATTTCCACGGCCACCAGCTTTTTCTGTTACCCCCCCCCCCCCAGACTACCTCAACAACCTCCTAACCAGCCTTCCTGCCCTCCATCTGTCCCCCTCCAATCCATCCTGCACAGGCTGTAAGACTCATCCTTCTTTTTTTTTTTTTTTTGCACAGAGACTTAATTTTTTTTTCAGTTCCAAATTCTCTCCCTTTTCACCTCCCCCATACCTATTGAGAAGGTAAGAAAAACAAATCCATTACAAATATGTATAGTTATACAAGACAAATTTCCGCATTAGCTATGTTTAAGAAAGAAAGAAAGAAGGAAGGAAGGAAGAGAGAAAGAGAAAAAGAAAAAGGAAAAATATGCTTCAATCTGTACTCTGAGTCCATCAGTTCTCTATCTGGAGGTGGGTAGCATGTTTCATCACAAGCCCTTTGGATTTGTGGTGGGTCATCGTGTTGATCAGAGTTACTAAGTCTTTAAAAGTTGATTATCTTTACAATATTGCTGTTACTATGCAGATTATTCTCTGGGTTCTGCTCACTTCATTTTGCATTAATTTATACATGTTTTTCCAGGTTTTCTGAAGCCATTTCCTTCATCATTTCTTACAGTACAATAGTGATCCTTTACATTCATATATCACAACTTGTCTCAACCATTCCCCAATTAATGGGCATCGCCTCAGTTTCCAATTCTTTTCCACCACAAAAGGAGCTGCTATAAATATTTTGTACCTGTCTTCTTTCTTTGATCTCCTGGGGGTATGGACTTAGTAACAGTAATGCTGGGTCAAAGGGTAGGCACAATTTAATAGCTTTTTGTCCAGAATTCCAATTGCTTTCCAGAATAGTTGGACTAGTTCACAGATCTACCAACAGTGCATTAGTGGACCAGTTTCCCCACATCCCTCCAGCATTTTTCATTTTCCTTTTTTGTCATCCTAGCCAAAGTGATGGGTGTAAGTAAGGTGGCACCTCAGAGTTGTCTTCATTTGCATTTTTCTAAATATTAGTGATTCAGAGCATTTTTTTCTATGGTTATTGACAGCTTTCATTTCTTCCCTTGAAAACTGCCTGTTCATATATTTTGACCATTTATAATTGGGGAATAACTATTATTCTTGTAGTTTTGACTCAGTTCTCTATATATTTTAGAAATGAGACCTTTTTGAGGGAAACCTGCTGCAAAGAATTTTCCCCTGGTTTCCTGCTTTTCTCTTTATTTTAGATGTATTGGTTTTGTTTGTTGCAAACTTTTTAATTTCATGTAATCAAAAAAAATCCATTTTATCTCTTGTAAATCTCTCTGTTGTTTGATCATTAACTCTGCCCCTATCCAAAGATATGACAAGTAATTTCTTCCCTGTTTCACTAATTTGCTTATGATATCACCCTTTATATTTAATTACACCCATTTTGAGCTTATCTTGGCATACATTGTGAGATGTTGATCTATGCTTAGTTTCTGCCAGACTGTTTTCCAGTTTTCCCAACAAATTATTTTTGTCAAATAGTGAAATCTTTCCTCAATAGCTGGGATCTTTGCTTCTGAATAATGTGTACCTAATTTCTTCCCCTAATCAACCTCTCTATTTCTTACCCAATACCACATTGTTTTGATGATTACAGCTTTGCAGTATAGTTTGGGATCTGTTATTGCCAGTTCCCTTTCCCATTTTTTTTATTGATTCCCTTGATATTCTTGACCATCTGCTCCTCCAGATGAATTTTGTTATTTTTTTCTAGCTCTATAAAATAACTTATTAGGGAGTTTAATTGGTATGGCACTGAATAAGTAAAATAATTTAGGTTGTACTGTTATTTTTGTGTTATTGGTGTGGCCTGCCCAGGCCACAATTAATATTTCTCCAACGACTTAGATCTGTTTTTATTTGTGTGAAATGTTTTATAATTGTATTTGTATAGTTCCTGTGTGTTTCTTGGCAGGTAGATTCCTCCATATTTTGTACTGTCTGCAGTTATTTTAAATGGATTTTCTCTTTCTACCCTTTCCTGATGGGTTTTGTTGGTAATATGCAGAAATGCAGATGATTTGTATGGGTTTAAGTTGTATACTGCAACTTTGCTGAAGTTAATTGTTTTGGCTAGTTTTTAGTCGACTCTCTAGGGTTCTCTAAGTTAACCATGATAGCCTCTGCAAAAAGTGAGTTTTGTTTCCTCATCGCCCTCACTTATTCCTTCAATTTCTTTTTCTTAATGCTATAGCTAGTGCTACTAGTAAAATACTGATCTTACTGGAAACGCTTTCAGCTTATCCACATTACAAATAATGATTGCCCTTGGTTTGAGATAGATGCTGCTTTATCATTTTAAGAAACTCTCCATTTATACTTGTGCTATCAAGTGTTGGGGTTTTTTTTTTTTTTAACAGGAATGGGTATTGTATTTTGCCAAAAGCTTTTTCTGCCTGTGTTGAAAAAGCATATGAAATCATATAATTTTTGTTACTGATGTGGTCAATTATGCTTATAGTTTTCTTAGTCTGAACCAGCTCCTACATTCCTGGCATAAATCCAGCCAGGTCATAGTGTATGTATGATCTTTATGATATATTATTGTAATGTCCTTGCTAGTATTTTATTTAAATTTTTTGCATCAATATTCATTAAGATAATTGTTCTACAGTTTTTTCCCTTTGTTTTGATTCTCCCTGACTTATGTATTAAGGCTATATTTGTATCATAGAAGGAATTTGGTAAAACTCTTTATTTTTTCAAACAGTTTATGTGGCATTGGAATTAATCATTCTTTAAATATTTAGTAGAATTCACTTGTAAATCCATCTGGTCCTAGTTTTTTTTTCCCCCTTAGGGAGCTCATTTATGGTTTATTCAATTTCCTTTTCTAAAATAGGTTTACTTAAACATTCTATTTCCTGTTCTGTTAATCTGGCAGTGTATATTTTTATAGATATTTATCCATTTTATTTAGATTGTCGGTTTGTTGGCATATAGTTGGGCCAAATAGCTTCTAATAATTGCTTTTATTTCTTCTTCATTGGTTATGAATTCACCTTTTTCATTTTTAATACTGGTAATTTAGTTTCCTTTTTTAAAAAAACACTTCAAATTGGCTAATAGTTTATCTATTTTATTGTTTTTTTTTAAACCAGCTTCTAGTTTTATTTATTAGTTTAATTTTTAAGAATTTCAGTTTTGTTAATCTCTCCTGTGACTTTCAGGATTTCTATTTTGGTGTTTAATTGGGGTTTTAAAACTTACTATTTTTCTAAGTTGTTTTTTAGTTGTATGTCCAATTCATTGATCTATTCTCTCTCTGTCTCTCTGTCTCTGTCTGTCTGTCTCTCTCTCTCTCTCTCGATGTAAACATTTAGGGATATAAATTTTCCCTTAAGTACTGCTTTGGCTGAATCCCACAAATTTTGGTATGTTTCTCATTGTTGTGATTATCTTTAATGAAATTTTTTATTGTTTCTATGATTTGTTCATTGACCCTTTTATTCTTTAGGATTAGGGCTCTCTTTCTGTTCCAGTGCTCCCTGCCCTGATGTCCAGTCTCAGCCCCCTTACCATCCCTGGACACTAGAATGCTCCCAAGCTGTGCTCCTGGCCAGCTTTTGTTTCAGTGTCTTTTGTTTCATTCAGATTTCTATGTCTATGTTCCTAAGCTGCCCTGTGTGGAAAAGTGACTCACTGTGACTTAGATTTCCTGATCAAAATTTGGTCTGGCGCATTTTTTAGGTTGTTGTGGAGGAAGTATGCTGGGTGAAGCGGGAAGAAATCCTGACTCTTACTACATCATCTTGACTCCACTCCAGGCAAGATTCATTCTTCCAATGCACTGATCTCATTATATTACTCTATACGCTCTGCCTAAAATCCAGAACCCACAATATGGCATTCAAAGCCCTTCAAAGTCTAGTCCCACCCCTTCTATCCAATCTGTACCCCAGCACAGAATCATAGTGTCAGAACTGGGAGGGACCTTAGAGGGCATCTAATCCAACCCACACCTAAGCAGCATTTTTGACAACTTGAAGCTGTCATCCAGCCTCCACTTGAAAACCTTCACTGATGAGGAACTCACCATCATTTTTGAATGGCTCTTCATTAATCAGAAATTCTTCTCCATGCTGAACTCCCTGTAACATCTACTCATTGGTCCAACTTCTGACCCGGGGGTCAAACATAACAAGTCTAGACCCTTTTCTATGTGACAGCTCTCCAAATACTAAGAAATGGCTGCCATGTTCTTCCAAGGCTATCTGCTAGGCTAAATGTCCCCAGTTCTTTCAACTGGTTTCCAGTTTTCTTGCCAATCTGGTCATTTTCCTCTGAACCTGCTCCATCTCATAAATATCTCTTTTACAATGTGGTGCCTCAAACTGTATACAATATTCCATACAAGGTCTTACCAAGGCAGACTGCATGATCATCATTTCTTTTGTTCTGAATGTTGAGTTTCTATGAGTGCAGTTTAAGATCACATTAATGGCTCATGTTGACCTTACATTCTCCTAGGACACTCAGATCTTTTTCACATGGGTAGCTAGGTGGTAAAGTGGATGGAGTGCTGGACTTGGAATCAGGAAGACCTCAGTTCAAATCCTATCTTGGATACTTCCTAGCTGTATGACCCTGGGCAAGTCACTTACTTTCTCACTTCCTTCCTTAATTTCCTTATCTGTATAATGGGGATAATAATATCTGCCTTACAGGGTTGTTGTGAAGATCAAGTGAGATGACATTTGTAAAGCACTATATAAAAGTTTTCACCTAGCTATGCTGAGCCCAAGTGCCAATCTTTGCATCTATCCTTGAGAAGTGCCAGGAATGAGCCCCATTGGCCAACAAGGTGGATCTCCTTTGTGGTCTGTTATACATACCTTATCAGTTCATGTGTCTGTAGCTTTGCTCTGGCTGATCGTCCTTCAGCTGTTCCTCACCTCCTACAGGTTAAAGTCTAAACTCCTTAGCCTGGTATTCAAGGCTGTTCAGAATTTGGACCTAACCTCCTCTTCCAGTCTTATTTCTGTTTCTTCCCCTATGCTTCTAGTTATACTAAGGTACTGACTTTTCTCTAAACATGTCCCACATGCTCCCACAATGGTACCTGGACATACTGTCCCTTCTTACACAAGATGCCTGCTCCCACATCTCCACCTAAAGAAAAGCATCATGCTACAGTACAAAGCTGCTTAAACTTTTTTCCACTTGCAACCCCTTTTCTCATTTTGGCAGCATTGGTTGGCATTGTGTGGCCTGAGGGCATGTGAGGTGAAAAGTGTGCATGCTGTGTTCAGAACCAAGACTGCAGTGAAGTTGAATGATGCAACACAGACAAGTGCTGCCAGAAACACCTTGGATTCATTCCGAGTTTGATTTTTAATTAATTTTTGGTCATTGTGTGTTCAGAAACCTTTTATTGTTGCCAAATTTTTCACCATCCCATATAGGGAGAGTAGATGGTAGATAGCCACCTGCTTCTACCGTGTCCCTTTCCAAACCATTCGTCACAATGCTGCCTGAGTAATCTTCCTAATGAACCTCTATGATCATCATCTATGATCATGTCCATTCAAAAACCATCAGCACCTCCCCACTGCTTGAGCAGAAATACAAAGTTTCAATCCCAGTATTCAAGGGTTTCCACAAGCTGGCTTCAATTTCCCGTTCCAGTTATATATCACAATGTTACTCTTTGTGTATTATTATTATTACTGCTGCTACTGCTACTACTAACTCAGATTTCTATAGTACTTTGATATCACTTTTTTTTAAACAAATACATGACAATAGTCAGAGGTAGGCATTACAGGTATTATTATCCTCAGCTTAAAGATTTGGAAATTGAGGCTCCAAAAGATGTCACGATTTGCCCAGGGTCCCACAACTAGCTAGTGTCAGAGTTGGGATTCCACCCTCCTGTCAAACGGAATCCTTCATCCCTAGCTCTTATCTTGACCACTCCTATATCCTTATCTTTGCTCACACTCTCTCTCTTCCCAACTCTACCCCCTGGTCTCTCTGTCCTTCAAGGATCAGAAGATCAGATCAGTCCAACCTCTTTATTTTACAGAGAAACTGAGGTCTACAGAAGTTAAATGACTTGTTCAATATCACACAAGCAGTAAGTGACAGATTTGATCTTCAAACTCAGGTCCTTTAATTCCCAACTCACCGCACTGTTGGCTTTCAGCCTCAATTTCAACCAGCTACTTCCTCTAGGAGTGGCCCCTAGAAGGCCCATTCTCATCACAAATCCCTGCTATAGTGTCCCCAACAAGTGGTTATCCAGTCTCTGCCAATGATCTCAAGTGAGAGGAAACCCATTACTTCCTGAGGCAGATGAATCTACTTTTGGATGACTCTCATTATAAGTCTTCATATCCCCTAGGAATCTTAGTTATTCATGTCCTTCCCCCTATTACTGACTAAGCTCTTTGACAGCAGGGTGCCATATGCATTTTGCATTTCCAGTGCCTAGCACAGTTTTTTTGCCTACACTGGATACTTTATAGATGCTTTGATGAATTGAGTTCAATTAAGGCAAAGCTGTTTCATCTCCTTACTGGCTGGTGCTTAGTTTAAGCCAGCTCAGCATTTCCAGGGATTCAGAAGTAGCCTGAGACATCTCCCAACCTTGTCCAGGACCAGCCAAGCTCGAGTGGACCCCAGTTGGTTGGCCAACCCAGCTGTAGACGTTCCCGAGACACAAAGTATCATTGGTTACTAGCTCTGGGCTCAGTTTCTGCCCTTTAAGCCATCTTTTAAAAAGATCAGTCATAAAAGACCAAGGCCTCCAGCACTTTCCACACTGGCAAAGACAGGCTAATTCCAGTTACACTTCTGGTAATAAGAGCTACCTTTCTGGCAGGCACAGCAGGAACTCCACCCTGAATTCTCAGTCATCTTTTCTGGACTGGGTGGCTCAATATACCCCAGAGTTTGTGGGCCTGCACAGAACTGCTCCTAAACCCATCCGGGGCAAGCTGATGTAATGGAAAGAGAACTAGATTTGGGAGTCAGAAGGGCAGAGTTCAAGCTCTGGTTCTGTCATTCTTGCTGTGTGACCTTGGGCAAGTCCCTTTCCATCTCTGGGTCTGTTTCCTTATTTCTAAAATGAAGGGATTGGATTAGATGGTCTCTAGAATGGAACTTTACACTGTGACATTCTGTGATTTTATGATGGTGCTATAGTAGATAGAGAGGTGGCCTCGGAGCCAGGGAAGACCTGGGTTCAATTCTCACCTTTAACACATATTGGCTGTGTGACCGTGGACAAGTCACTTAAACTCTCAACTGTTCTTAAACTCTCTAAGTTTCAGCCAAGATGCCAACCTGCATTGGTAGGAGTTCCCTCACCTGGGAATTTCCTATAGTAATGAAATCACAGGCCTATTCCCTATGCCCTATGATAATTTGAACAGTTTCTGAGGTTGGAATTACCCCCTCCCCTACCCCCAATCTATTTCACAGAGCTGGTATACAAAATCCCCAGGGCAGAGGGCTAGTCTATGTAAAGCACTACATTGGGCTGGGCTGGGTCATGAACTTTCTGAAAAGTTCAAAACCAGGCCCTGAATATACTAATATCCCTGGTCCCCGCCCCCATTCAGAGGGTCCAGAGCCCAATATACATTCATCTCCCAGGTGGGCACCTCCAAAGCAAACCTCTCAGATGGGCAGCCCAATATGGGTCTTACCGTCCTCGGCTTCCACATAAAGACGAAATCCAAGGTGACTTTTACGATTTAATAACCAGTGATTGCTGGCAGCTGTGACATCAAAAACCAGCCAGCCCTCATCCCCAGCCTGAAGGGTCTGCAGATCTAGTAAGAATAAGTCAGATTCCCTGTGGAAATAGAAGAAAACCGGCCAGGTCAGATCAAAGGTGACTCTGTAACTACTTGTCTGGGTATCAGGACCATGGAGAGTCCAAACTCCATCCCCATTTCCCAACAAGGAATAACGCGGAAAGGTTCCCTCAAGCTTGTCTTTATTTTGCCTGGGAAATGTCTTTACTTCCCAGAGGATGATGTGCTTTCAAACGCCAGAGCACCCACTCTAGTATTTTAAAATCACCCTTGATGCATTCTTACAAGGTCTTTTTTGAAGTTACTCTGCTGACTTTCTCCTATAATGTCAGCATGGTGGACCAAGGGCTGGATTTGGAGACAGGACAAATCCTGTCCTGCTTCAAATCCTGCTGCCTGATATACACCTGCTAGGTGACCCCGGAAAAGTCACTCCATCCCTATGGGCTTCAGTTTCCTCCTCTTTAAAATGGGGATAATAAAACACTTGTGGTACTCACCTCACAGGGTTGTATAAGGCTCAAATGAGATAAGCTACGGTATAAACCATAAAGCACTGTATAAAAGTCTAGTATTAGAAGCCTCTAGGAAGCACAGTGCTGGGTCTGGAGTCATTTAGACTTGAGTTCAAATCTGGCCTCAGACACTAGCTGTGTGATCCTGAGCAAGTCACTTAATAACCTGTGTGCCTCAGTTTCCTCACTTGTAAAATGGGGATAATAATAGCACCTACTTCATAAGGTTATTGTGAGGATCAAATGAGATAATATTTGCAAATTGAGGCTTGACGTTGGGGAAAGCTTCCTAGTAATGAAAGCTGTCAAAGGTGGAGTGGACTGCCTCAGGAGGGGGTAGGGGCCCCCTCTTTGGAGGGCTCTAAGCAGAGGCACGATGACCACTCGTCAGACGTGTCAGAGAGCATTTATAAAACACTTTGTCAAAAAAACAAACCACTGTCATCCTTAAAGTGCCACATTAATATTACCCTACTGGCATGGGATGGTTTCTCAGAACCCACAGGTGCCCCCCATGACACAGCGAGGTAACGATAATAATAATAGGGAAGAGAGGAAGGGAATATCCATTTATTCAGCCCTTACTATGTCAAGCCTCGATTTGCCTCTCTGCAGCTCGTGGTTCTGCCCTTTGTGGCCAGACAAAACAAATCTAATCCCTCCTGGTGGAAATAAAGAGTCCGCACCTATTGGATTGCTCCGTGATGATCTCATATATGCTGATGTGAAGGGTCTTGTTGAGGTGTCTAGTGAAACTCCTCATCTTATAGATCCGGAACTCAGCAGCTGTGACACATTCCCCTGATGGAATCTGGGTCAAGTCGAATCTAAACTCCTTCCAGTAGGGCTCCTGGTAGAATAGATCCCGGTCATGCTCGACTGGAAAAGAAAGTTGGGAGAGGGTGGTGTGTGGAAAAAAAGACGTTGATGCAAAAGACCATGTATACTCCCACCAGGACTCCTGATTGCCTACAGGACCAACGCTGCACTCCTCTCTCTGGCATTCAAGGCTCTTTGTGAACTACGGTACCTTTGCAGCCTTTTCCTGTACCACTGCCCTTTTTCCCATGAGCCATGAGCCAGCTCAGCTGGAAGACTTGCCCTCTGTCCCTTGAAAGTATTCTCCACCATTATGCTTTTGCTCATGCTGTTCCCTCTGCCAGGAATGCCTTCCTATTACCCCTTCCCTTTTATATGCTGAAATCCTGATCATATCTTAAGGCCCACCCTGCTCAAAACCTGACTCCTCTAGGAAGCCTCTGTCAATCTTGACAAGTAAAGAGCCTCCCCTGTTCCAGACTACACTTTGATCAGGTATCATTCTGTGTTACGGCTCTCGGTACAAGTCTCCTATCCTTCTCTAGGTTTGAAGCTCTTTAGAGGCAGCTAGTAAAGAGAGCACTGGGCCTGGAGTCAGGGAGACATGAATTCAAATCTAGCCTTAGACACTTAAAAGCTGCGTGACCTTGGGCAAGTTACTTGTTTCCTCAACTGTAAAATGGGGGTAATAACAGAACCTACCCCTTGGGGTTGTTGTGAGAATCAAATGAGATAATATTTGCAAAGCACTGAGCACAGTGCCTAGCACATAGTAGTTAGTGCTTAATAAATGCTTATTTCCCCTCCCCCTTGCATCTCCCCAGAGTCTTGCATACAGTTGGCATTTAATAAATTTATTAAACAAATAAATAACATTAACTAGCATTTGTATTGTGTTTTAAGGTTTGCAAAGCACTTGACATCTGCTATCTCACTGGATCCTCACAATAGCCCTGCAAGCTAGGTGCTATTATAATCCCATTTTACAGACAAGAAAACTGAGTCTGAGAGAGTAAATGAATCATCCAGTGTCACATAGCAACTAATTAACTGAGGCAAGAGTCAAACTCAGATCTTCCTGATCCCAAGTCCAATACTCTTTCTGCTGTGCCACCTAGCTAATTAAACTGGCAAAGGAGAGTCGGTGAGTATGAATTAGATCATCTTCTATATTCTTCCCCCTAATCTTGTATGTATCTCAAGGCCCTGTCCTAGGCCAGCTCCTCTTTTCTCTCTATACTGGTGCCCTTGGTGACTCCCAGATCCATATATCCAGCCCTAGTCTCTCTCCTGAGTTCCAGTCCCATATCACCTGCTGCCTACTGGACATCTCCGCCTAGATATCTCATGGGCATCTGAAACTAAACATGTCCCAAACAGAACTTGTGGTCTTCCCTCTTGGGTTCTGCCAATGGTACGACCATCTTCCCTGTCACCCACGTTCATAACCTCAAAATTGTTCTCTTCCTTAACTCTCACATCCAATCAGTTGCAGAGTATTGTCATTTCTATCTCCACAACATCTCTTGCATTTGACCCCTTCACTTCCCTTACGTGGCCACCATTGCCAAAATGATCTTCCAACCCCATTTATTCTAACTGTAATCACCAACCATGCCATCTTCTGATCTTCATTTTAATCACATTTTCCTCCTGGGAAAGCAGGGCTGAACCAGCCACTGGAGTAGTCTTGCCACCTGGGCAAAGATCTTGCATCTGAGCAGGTACTCAAACATCAGAACTCTCTCTCCAGTAACCAGGCACACCCCTCTCACAATCAAAACTTGTTCTCAGCAAAGGGCATGATAAACAAACCTACAAGGCAGATTAAATCACTGAAGGGGGCTTAAAGAGGGATCTCTGGGGGACTGGAACTCATATTTGAACAGGAGTCTAAACTTAAGCCAAAACAATGAATGTCAGTGAGTGAACCTGGGCATCAGGAGCTCTGAGGAGGCACTTTTTTTTAAGGGAGGCCCAGAGTCCCTGACATCACAGTGATAGGCAGCTGCCCAAACTACCGCATGGACAGATGGCAAACCTGCCAATTTTATAAATGAGATAATAGTTGTAAAACACTTAGCACGGTGCCTGGCACATAGTAGGAGCTTAATAAATGCTTGTTTTCTCCCTCCTCTGCCCAAATGAGCTGTCTGTTTATTTTTAGACTTCCATTCTGGAAACCAGCACTAAACAGCCCTCTCTCCTCAGGCAAATGAAAGCAGAGCCTACAAACTTTTCCAAATTTTGAAGGGAAAAGCACTATTTTGAATTATCTGGATAAAGCAGTGAGATGAAAAAGGCTGAAGCTGAAGGCAAGAGAGATAAGGCCATAGGACTGTGAGCTAGGAAGCACCTTAGAGACCCCCTTATTTTACACATGGGGAAACTGAAGCCCAGAGAATTTGTAACTTCTTTATTTCTTTTCCCTCATGTGACTATTAAAAAAACCCTTGTGACAAACATACATGATTAAAAAAAATACTAATAGCTAGAAATCTCTTCACCTACGTTGGCTCATGGGATGGTCCAACAAGGCAGTGGCTCTGGTTGGCCAAGTCCAAGAACATCTGGCTCCTCCATCACCTCTCTGGCAGGAGCGGGGCAGGGGAAAGGTGTCATCATCCTGTTAGGTGACTTGTCCAAGATCGTGGAGCAAGTCAATGGCAGAGGCAGGATTCGAATCCGCTACTGTTTCTAAACCCCACAAATTCTCTAAATTCTAAGGCTTTTTCTCCCATAAGTGAGAATCCTGGCTCTGGCAGTACTAGTCAAACAACCCTGAGCAAGTCACTTCTCCCTATAAACCTCCATTTCCTCATTCATTTCAACTCAGTTCAGCTCAGCAAACATTTAAGTCCCAACTGCTGGAGACACACCCTCGAGGAGGTTCCAGTCTAGGAGAATCTTGGTCCAAGAAGCCCCTTCCTCACTCACAGTGGGAGTGAGGATCAGAAGAGAGGCCAGAGGACAAGTCATAAGAGAATAATATTAAGGACAGAATAACAGAGAGCTAGAAGGATCAATGAGTCCAACTCCTTCATTTTACAGATAAGGAAACTGAGGTACAGAAAAGTCAAGTGACATACACAAGGTCACACACCTAGTAAGTGTCCAAGGCAGGATTTGAACTCAAGTGTTCTAAGGTTTTCTCTATGACTATCTAAATCCATATACCTCTTTTCTGACCTGTGGTATTATATCTCCAGCTGATTCTTGGATATCTTAAATCCAACTTGTTCATTATTTTTTCTTCTACTGTCTTTTCCCTCTCTTCTTAGCTTCTCTATTACTGTCAAGGGACCACCATTTTCTCAGGCTCCCACACCCTAAATGTCTCCCATGATTCCTCACTCCCTCTCACTCCACGTGGCCAGTCTGTGGCAAAGTCCTGTGGTTTCTCCCTCTGTCATATCTCTTCTATACGCCCCCTTCTCTCCTCTGACACTGCCACCACCCTGGTCCCACCTGGACTACACTGCACTAGCTGCTGGTGGGCCTGCCTGCCTCAAATCTCTCCTGACTCTGGGCCATCTCCCACTCAGCCACCAAAGTGATTTTCCTAAAGCAAAGGCCATACTGTATCACCTTCTCTTCAAGCAACTACAGCAGCTCCCTATTGCCTCCAGGATCAAATAGAAAATCTTCAGTTTGGCTTTTCAAGCCCCCCATAAGCTGTACCCAGCCATCACTCCACCTCTCAGCTCTGGGCATTTTCTCTGGTTGTTCCCTATGCCTGAAACTCTCTCTCTTCATTTCCACCTCCTGGCTTCTTTCCAGCCCCAGCTAAAATCCCACCTTTCTGTAAGAAGCCCTTCCTGGTCCCCCTTAGTGCCTTCCCTCAACTGATTACTTCCAACTTATCCTGTATATTTCTTGTTTGCATGTTGTCTCTCCCCGTTATACTCTGAGCTCCATGAGAGCAAGGACTATTTTTGTCTGTTTTTTTTCCCCCACCAGTGATTAGCACAGTACTTGGCACATCGTAGGCACTTAACAAATGCTTATTGAAATAACTTAATGGATCATGACTGTCAGAGCCCTCGCCTCCACTGGCCAGAGTGGGTTCTCTAGTTGCAGGAAATCTAGGAGCACTGCAAACCGAATGCTTCCCAACAGGGCGTGATTGGGACAGTGCATCGCTGAAACCAAATACTGAGATTTAATGAGGAGCCTGTGTGTCTTTAAAAAAAAAAAAAAAAAAAAAAAAGCCACCGCATCCCTCTGGCCTTAGCGCTCACTCACCACAAGCCCATTTTTAAAAAAGCCTCAGGTTGGCTGGCTGGGGGCGGATGCGGGGAGCACTTCCTGCCCTCGCGGTGTGGGCCTGGCACCCAGGCTGGACAGCTGGGCTGGGGGAGGATGGGACAGGATGCTGGAGGGGGAGCGTTGTGGGGGACTGATATTTTCATCTCACCATATGACAGAGAAAAAAACAACTCATCCTGGTGACATCTGTAGGCTCGCTGCAAACCCATTAGCTGGCCTTGGCTTTTAGGGGCCCCAGCATTCATCCAGGTCTCCTAGGTCAGGGAGGGAGTTAAAAATTGAGAGTATCCAGGGCAAAAATATCACCCCTACTGCCACGGAACTTTTGGCTCCCCAACTCAAACTGGAAAAGGGACAATTAAAGAATGACTTCTGTGGCTTAAGCATCATGGTGCTAGCTGAAGGGATAGGGCCCCTCAAAGCCCTTTGCTGAGCTCTGGGTACTGTGCTTACAGACAGGGCCCAGCCTGGAGTGGACACAGAACCTGAGTCGCTGTGAGGAGGAGTAGGTGAGGCTTGTGCTTGAGATGTCCACAGGGGTGGGGGGAAGAACCATTACTTTGGCTTCCTGAAGCCTTCCTTAAAGTATAGAATGTCAGAGCTCAGAGGGACCTTAGAACATAGAATATAGTTAGTCACAGCCAGAAGGAACCTTAAGGCTGGAAGGAACCTTAGAGTATAACATGTCAGGGCTCAGGGGGATCTTAGAACATAGATTGGGGGCAGCTCGGTGGTGCAGTGGCTAGAGCACTGGCCCGGGAGTCAGGAGGACCTGAGTCCAAATCCGGCCT